ATTTCCTTAAAAGATATGCAAACTGTTCTCAAGACTAATCTGGCTCAGGACACTCTGTGCCTTTAACATGGTTTCATGAGGACCAAAGAACAAAATGCCAGGGCAGTAAATGTCAACTCCATCGTCAGGTGTCTGACTGGCAGACCAAGCTGCAGGCAGGAGAGCTTGACCCAAGTGAGTCAATGCTATTTCCTTGCTGAGTATCCTTTCCACACCATGGCTAAGGATAATTCCTTTTGAAACTGCTACACGAGGACTTCAGGTGCCAAGATGGCGGAGTGAGGCAGGAACTCCCTGGATCTCTCCCAAATTCTCCTCCAAACAACTTAAAAACCACCTCAGAACTGATTTAGGAGCTGGGAAGCAGCTTACCAGCTCTGCAGCAAAGGTCCGTCTCACTGGTGTGGGATGGGAGCCAGGTCCAAGAGCAGCAGCAGCAGGCAGCTTCACAACAGAGGGCCTGCAGCAGCAAAGCTCTGAGCCCTGGGACAATCCAACAGCTAGGCCCCACCCTCCTACAGGCCAGCAGCCTCCAGACAAGCCATCAGTCTGTGAAGCACAGCAAGACCTCACCCCAGCACAACCCCCAAGCACAGGCCACAAGCTAGGCCTCACCTCAGTCAGATTTAAATCGGAAAACTATTAACTGCTCATGGCTAAACCAAGCGAACACAATAAAAATGACAATCCTACCTAAATTAATCTCTTTCTTCACTGCCACATCAATCAAACTGCCAAAAAATTATTTCATAGAGTTAGAATAAATAATAAAATTCATCTGGAAGAACAAAAGGTCAAGAATATCAAGGGAATCGATGAAAAAAAAAGCAAAGGAAGGTGGTCTAGCAGTACCAGATCTGAAACTGTATTATAAAGCAGTAATTATCAAAACAATCTGGTACTGGCTAAGAAATAGAGTGGTGGATCAGTGGAATAAATCAGGTACACAATATATTGCAGCAAATGATCATGGTAATCTAGCATATGATAAATGCAAAGACTCAAACTTTTGGGACAAAAACTCATTATGTCACAAAAACTCTGGGAAAATGGGAAAACGGTACGGCAGAAACTAGGTAGAGACCAACATCTCACACTGTATACCAAGATAAGGTCAAAATGGGTACATGCTTCAGACATAAAGAGTGATTCCATAAGCAAATTAGGAGAGCAAGGAATAGTGCACTTCTCAGATCTATAGAAAAGGGAAGAGTTAGGACCAAACAAGATAAAGAGAGCATTACAAAATGGAAAATGTATCATTTTGATTATATAAAATTTAAAAGGTTTTGCACAAACAAAACCAATGCAACCAAAATTAAAAAGGAAAGCAGAAAACTGGGGGGAAAGGGTGAATTTTGCAACAAGCATCTCTGATAAAGGCCTCATTTCTCATATAGAGAACTGAGTCCAATTTATAAGAATACAAGTCATTCCCCAATTGACTAATGATCAAAAGATATGAACCGTTTTCAGACAAAGAAATCAAAGCTATTTATATAGTCATAAGAAAAAGTGCTCTAAATCACCACTGATTAGAGAAATGCAAATTAAAACTCTGAGGTACCACCTCACATCCACCAGATGGACTTACACGACAGAAAAGGAAAATGACAAATGTAGGAGGGGATGTGGGAAAACTGGGACACTAATGCATTGTTGGTGGAGTTGGGAACTGATCCAACCATTCTGGAGAGCAATTTGGAACTATGCCCAAAGGGCCATAAAACTTCGAGTGCCCTTTGATCCAACAATACCACTGCCAGGTCTGTATCCCAAAAAGATCAGGAAAAAAAAAAAAGGAAAAGGACTTATTTGTACAAAAATATTTATAGCAGTTCTTACTGTGGTGGCGAAGAACTAGAAATCAAGGAGATGTCCATCAACTGGAAAACAGTTGAACAGGTTGTGGTATGATTGTGATGGGATATTATTGTGTTATAACATGACAAGCAGAACGATTTCAGAAAAACCTGGAAAGATTTAACATGAAGTGATGTAAAATGAAGTGAGCAGAACCAGGGGAATGTTGCACACAGTAACAGCAATACTGTATGACGAAGAACTGTGAATGACTTAGCTCTTCTCAGCAATACAACGATCTTAGACAATTCCAAAGGCCTCATAATGAAACATGCAATTTGCTTCCAGAGAAAGAACTGATATTACCTGAATACAGACTGAAACATACTGTTTTTCCACTTTCTTTCTTTCTCCTATTCTTTTGTGCTGTTTTTGTTTTTGTTTTTTTGGTTCAAGTCTTCTTGTACAAAATGACTAATATGGAAATGTTTTACAAAGGTACAAAGGAGGGAGGGAGGGAGGAGGGGACAGAATTTGGAACTGAAAACTTTAAAAAAAAAGTGTTAAGTTTTAACATATAACTGAGGAAAAAATAAAACATTGTTATTTTAAAAAAAGAAATTGCTCCGTGATCTAGGATTTTCTTTTTTCTAACACCAAGCCTAAAGCACTAGACCTGCCTAAGTCAGCCGACGACAGATAGTCTGGTCCATGAGTAACTCATTTCTTTCTCATTTGAAATCCTGAAACTCTCCCCTGATGGCCAGATTCACATCTCCAGGTGCCTGTAATGGATACCTTGAACCAACTGTCCTACAGAATCTTAAATTCAACATGTCCAAAATTGAACTCATTATCTAATCCTCTATTTGGCATTGAAAGGCCTCCTCTGTTCTCACCTTTCCAATATTCTTGTATCTTACTCCTCCTTCCCATTTACATACTCTGCAATCCGGTGACACAGGCCTCCTTGCTGTCCCTCAAGCAAGCCATCATCTCCTGATTCCCGGGATGTCCATTGGCCCCAGAGTCCCAATCCTCCTCATCTCCCTATCTCCAGGTTTCTCTGACATCTAAAGGAAATCTCAGAAGAAATGCTATCTTGTATGGGAAGCCTTTCCAGACCTCCTTTAATGCTAGGGCCTTCCCTCTGTCGATTTTCTCCAATTTATCCTCTGTATAACTTGTTTGTGCACAGCCGTACGCATGTTATCTCTCCTATAAGGTGGTGATCTCCTAGAGAGCAGGGACGGGCCGAGGGGGAGGGAGTAGCCTTTCTTCATATCCCAAAGGTGCTCCTCCTCCTCCTCCTCCTCCTCTGGAGTCATACGTTACACGTGGGCTCTGTACAAATGAATATAAATTTTGGATCGTGCACGCTTCTCAACGTATCCTGGGTTTGGGGGCTGGTTTTTTTTTTTTTCTTCCTTACTTATTCTACCATTCCTGCCCCCAAAAAACTGCAACAATTAACTCCTTTGTCTAATGTAAATTTTATTTATGATTTCTTGAAATAAAGCTCTGGAAAACGAGGCTTTGATAAAGCCCACTGGGATTCAAATGGAGATACCTGACTATGCTTTTAAACCCAAATCACTGTGGCTCTTAGCGACAGGCCCAGAACAGGTCCTAGCCTAAGCCTCCCGGGCTCAATGTTTGGGGGTCTGATGGCTCCGAGCGAGTGTAGACAGCGATCGTTTCCCTCCGAGCCAGGACCCTCCCGATCGAGCCGCTGGCGGAGGCACGACGGGCCATCCTTCGTGTCAATTCTCACTCAGTGGGTGCAGGCTCGAACAGAGGGAGGCCAGGGAAGGCCTCTGGCTTAAACTGGCCGAGGGCCCGGCGTCCCGCGCAGCCCTGCCTCGCCTACCCCCAAGTCCCCGGCCAGTCGAGACGCCGCCTTCCCCAGCTCGCTGGTCCTCTTCCCGAGGCCGCCGGCAGGGC